ACACTAGGTGTACTTCCCATTCTTATGCAAAGATCCTGACATATGTTTTACCGAGGAACGAGACCCTAGTGAGAACTATTCAAAGAATGGATTAATACGAGGTTAATTGACAGTCCACTTAACCACAAATGGTCTGTAACATATAAGATTGAACTAGACATTTTGATGTGAGATTAATAAGAGAATGTTCCTTCTAGGTGTATAGATATTCCATTATACTGCTTATTTATTGGTTCTTTGCATTATTCCATCAAAATTATGGCGTCCAGTACCCGTGTGCGATATAATGCCATCTAACTATACAGTTTAAGTGTTGCAAACGTAATTTGAAAATGGTATATGTAGGTCAAGCCCATGGGTAGAATTACACCTTTGTAAAAGGAGAAGGTGGGGGCAATCAGATTGACCATCAATATCGCACAACTACAGCATTTAATAGTGCAGTAGTTGTGCGATATTGATGGTCAATCTAGAAATGGCCATTGTAGTTTCAATCCATCGTTGAAATAATTTAACGTGATCAGGTAATCCACATGATGTTCTACACCAGGAACGGGTCAAAAGCAAAAATACAACATCCTCAATGCAGGTGAAAGCTTTAGGCGGAGGAATGTATCAGCCTTTTACCCAGAGTGCTACTTTGAGTGAATGTGGATGGCATATACCTTCTTGGACATTTATCACAAAGGTATCAGCCTTTTGTAAGAGGTAAAAAAATGTGGTTGACAGATATAAAACGGATGTCACGGTAAATGAAAATGCATGAGGACAATGATGTTATGTATGGTCCTGTGTAAAATGTTGGTTGCAGCGGGGGAAACACTAAATGGGCTGTCCTTAAGAAAAATGTGGAAAACTGTAGTGAAAATATGTTGCTGTTTAGATAATAAAAAGGATGGAGAAAATACTTAGGCAATCAAAAATTATTAGTAAAACAAAACCAGATAAGAACAAAAAACACAAAAAAAAAAGAACTAAAACAAATTGCTACACACACATTTAAAAATTGAGCAACTCCAACCCCAAATAAAAGATGGTCTCATGTGCTCAAGAAGGGTCAGCAGTTCCTGTTCAACAACTGACACCTACCTAGGTGCTCTTGTCTAAATAGATCGATGGGTCATATTCAGTAATTAGGCATATATCATATAATAGTGGATTTATAAATATCTCTTTTTTAACCCTTAGAATCCACAAAATATAAATCATTTAAAACCATTGGTACATATAAATTATCTAAAACGTGGCCGAATGTGAACGTTTGCAATGAAATAAGGTTTTTCATGCCTGTACGACTGATTGAGACTTTCACTAGTTGACAACACAGACATTGAAAAATAAAGAGCAAATAACACAACATTGAAAGCATAAACAAAACGAGTCCCTGTTCATGAAAACTAGAGGCAAACTAGGTGTTCGGAAGGGTGTTTATTTTTTTGGCCAACTGGTAGCACACGTGATGTTACTCATTGTCAGTAGAAATTCGTCGTATTTATTTCTCATCTTGGTGTTACCAAAATCGATGAAAAAGAAAGGATTGTGGAATCGAGAAGTGGAACATATCTATTATCATTTGTGATTCAGATGTTACCCAATTGTCAAACAAATTCTTATGGCGTCTCGATAATTGTTCGAATGTATCCATTAATGGGATCTTTAAGGTTAAATTATCTTTCAAGCAGCATCCATATATATCGTAGAAACGCAATCCCTAGAATATTGTAAGTATAACAAAGATCGATTCGATAGAAGAAATAAATATCAACAAAGCCTTGACTCAGTTTTGCTCATTTTTTACTTTTTGGAGGCCATTTTGAAATTTTCCGCTATTTTGAAAATAAATGAAGTCTAATATTACGTCATGATTTACTGAAAACGTTGGATTACATTTTATATGTTTTTAAAAGATTTGGTTTGACTATTATTTGATTTAATATATAGTTTTGCATGGTTGTAAAATTTAGACTGATTAGCAGACATTTTGAAAATGGCCGCCATATTGGATTTTTCAGAGTGGGTTTATAGCTTAAATTGACTATCACATATAAATATACAATTGTGCAAAGTTTCATGCTTTTATCATCAAACCTACAATACTTCTAATAATGTGCACGAATCAGCTGGACTACATTGACAAACAGGAATTATAAAAGTTGGCGCCAAATTTTGGGTGCGGTCATCTATGACCCGAGGAAGAATAACCCATGATTGACAAGTTCGTTGAATTGTTCAACATTTTGTAAACCGTAATTAAATTTCTATAACAGATACAGCGATAAACATATTAGATATTGGGACAGAATATTGCAATGTTAGAATCAAGACGTTATAATTGCTTACATATTCAAAAGATTTTATACTTTAATCAGATTCCACCTATCTGAACAAAAACTGTAATTCTATCATCGACTATTTCTTGGATACAAATAGTTCTATTATAAAAGAAATGATAAGCAATCACTTATCAGGATTTAACTAGCACATACAAGTACAAGTGAAGTACATTTGTTTTAGTTTCAATATTTATATAATGTTTCGAATGGTTTGGGATTGACAAATATATGTTTTTTGCAACAAACAATTCTATATTAATGTTTGTGTTAACACCATGTACATGATCGCTATCCAATTATTACCTAGTGTAATTTTTCAAATACAGAAAACTAAAGTTAATACATTTCACGAAATTGTTTTGTAAATAATTTATTATCATATTTTGTTTTATTTGTTTCAAATAAATATTGAGCGGGACACATAAAAAATATGTTTGATGTTGATTGTACCAATTCCCTGTTCGAAAATGATAGAACATTACTTAATCATGTTAATGGGGTTATTTGTAGTTATTACAGATGCGAGAGCACAACTTGCACGCAACAAATGATTCTATTATTTTATACATTTCAAATACTAATTAGTTTATGAGTCATTCGAGATACTATCACAAATATAACCAATCAGCCAATGAACTTCCTTCCGTCTTTTAAATAATTATTATTTCTATAAATTTGTGCTTACATCATGTACATATTGATAAATCCATACGACTCTTTTTCGTCAATATTTTGGAAATATGTTAGAACTGTATAATAAGAAAATTTACAGAAACTTTTTTGTACCGTTTGCACTTTTTTATAATTCGGTTTATCCAGTGAAAACCGCACGAAAAGACATAAAATACGTACAAACTTATGCATTTTAAGTATTTAATTCTATGCAATTACACTTTTCTTAGCTTTAGCTGTAAAAAAAAAAACATATTTTTTTCTTTGAATTATCTTTCTAGTAGGCTCATTTGCAATGATACCACATCTCAATATTTTGTTTAATATCTTAAGTATTTTTAATATGAGTCCACATGATTCTTTTCCGTCAATGTATATTTACAACAGAGGATTAAGAGGCAATATCAATATTTGTTATTATTAGCTTGTTCTTTCCAGCCCGATTTGACCTACATCATGTACATAATAACCATATGTGTAGCTTTTGAATCAAAATATTCATTTATATGTTTCGGAGTTTGGTGTGGCGAACATTTCGCTGAACTAGTATACATTTTTGTTTAGGGGCCAGCTGAAGACCGCCTTCGTGTGCGAGATTTTCCGCTTCGTTGAAGGCCTATCGGTGGTCTTTGGCTGATTTCTATCCTTTGGTCGGGTTGTTGTCTCTTTGACACATTCCCAGTTTCCATTCTTAATTCGATTCATGTTATGCTTTGCTCACTCCAACATGTTTGGCATGATGTTAATATCTATTTACAATTATTATGCACACTTCTGTTAAGACGAGTATAAAGCATGACACGAAATTAACATTTCTGCATTAAGAAGCTCTGACTCCAGTGTTATCCTATTATCGCTCGTGCACAATGGTTGATGCTTGAATACAATTGAATCACAATTGAATGTAAATAAAACCGATTTCATATCTGTTTAAAATGTTCACAAAAAAAAAATTTGAGAGGCAACATAATCCAAATTGATTAAACATCGATCGGGGTGACGCCACCCTCTATTTAAAAACAATCGGTAGCTTCATGTGTTAACAATAATTCCCGTATGTTTTAAAAGCGAGAAAAACAAGAATGTGTCCAAAGTACACGGATGCCCCACTCGCACTATCATTTTCTATGTCCAATGGACCGTGCAATTGGGGTCAAAACTCTAATTTGGCATAAAAACTAGAAAGATCATATCATAGGGAATATCTGTACTAAGTTTCAAGTTGATTGGACTTCAACTTCATCAAAAACTACCTTGACAAAAATCCTTAACCTGAAGCAAGACAGACAGACGAACGAACGAACGGACGAACGAACGAACGGACGCACAGACCAAAAAACATAATGCTCCTCTACAATCGTAGGTGGGGCATAACAATCATTTTAAGCTCATGTTAAAGCTAATGTAATATCGAACTAAGCTAAATCAATTTATAAAACGTTGCCCAGTAATTTGCACCATGCAACTTTCAATATAAAAATATGTGGCATACATATATGCAATGACTGTAGACATTTTATAAACTACTTATTGTATTCAGTCGATAGTAGATACAGTCACTTTATATATGGCACACTTTTCCCATAAGTCTAGTGAAGTTGTTTCTTTTATTTTTAATTTCATATATAGAAAAAACAATATGTGGAAAAATAAGTATAACATGTGTGTCAAACCTTTAATGTTAAAAGGGAGTAAATATTTACTCAGGCGACAATAATACCATTTCTAGGTTCCGGGTTTTTATTACTGGTATACTTATGAATGGTATTTGTGGGTATGCATAAAATTGCAAAATTCATATGGTGCCGTGGTTCTTTCAATTGAAAATTCGAATGCAATGTGTCATGCGATGATTGAATGGATGACGTCTGCCGGCAATTTCACGGTTGACGGTCGTAGTCATTGACATATTTCAAATAGTTTACATTCAACATTTATTTACGAGTATTGCATTATCATAGGAATAGCAGTACCGTATTTGAAATGTTGCTACTGTCAATTCTGGATTTACCGGTATCGCTTCTCCAAATACGGTACTGGTGTCCCTTTAATATCATATGTATGTGTATTTTATTATTCCAAACGTATGATAGAACACCTCTTGTATTATTTTATTTGACGCAAAAACCTAAACACATCCTAAACGGTTTACATTTTTACACTGTGTATCCAAATAATATATTTGTGTCACAGTTTCAAAACTAGTTGAAGACAGTTCCAAATAACACTTCGATTGTACTATATACTACTTATATGGCCGGTTTATTAACTGTTCCTTGGTATAATGAATTATACTGATATGTTTGTATAACCTTTCCAATTACTTAATCACTTTACGTTAAAACTTATATTGTCTTTACTTTTAGGAGTATTTTTAAAATATCCTTGTTACATTGTACCAGCTAAACCCATGAACAATTCTTTGATGCTGATCGGGAAAATCTAGATGATGTCATTTTGTGTTTAAAGGTCAACAAAGATTTAACTTCACGTCTAAAATGCCTCCCTGTAATACTGTAGAGAAAAAAGTTAATACAGTAATTCATATAAAATATAGTTTTGGTTATATACAAGATACCCTGCCAATACTCCACGCCATAGTTTGAATATTGTAAATGTTTTGATAAGTGTTTACTATGTAGAAAATTCCGGAACCAAACAATAAAGTAAGGTCCATTGAATGTTATAAAGCAAAACGAAATTGTAAACAATATAAGAGTAAACTCCAATCTTATGAAACTCGCGTCTGATGATGATTGAGATGAGATTTTCGATCGGTTTTCACGGCTGTTGTGCTTTCTGCCGAACACACGAAACTGCGATTTTCGTAAACAAAGTTTTCGCATAATCAGAACATTTAGTACTGATATAATCACAAACGGTACTAATGTTATCAAAAGCGCAAATATACTATCTAAAACAAACGACAGGAAGTCGTGATCTTTACTTCCGGTACAATAGTGAATGCCATCGTGACTTAAATAAACTCCACTTAGAACTGGTTTATAAATAACTATTATGCAACTTGCTATCATGACTCCAAATATTATCCGTCTTGATCCGGGTAATGAACATATATATCGTCTGTAAAGAGGATGGCATACTCCTATGTATCTTTCAATAGTGAATGCTGTAACAAGCCATGAAGATAAGAAACGTAAAACATAAGCTATGTAAAGTAACGTCTGGCATGTACCATTTTGATCCAGAAAGTGTAATTTAAACTCCGGAAGGAGATAAACAAGGCCTCGTTTTAACCATTCTACTGTCACATAAAAGATTAAAACCAAAAGATCTGAAACTGACAATGCAGCTAGATAGGAACTTGCTGAAAGATTTCTCATGTTTCTTGATAAAAATACTGTTAACGACAATGAGTTTCCAAGAAAACCAACGAGCAATATCACAGGTGTTGCATACGCGTAGACAGATCGTCCGATCTCATTAGTTCTTGATTTTTCTGGTTGTTCCATTGGCGTACAATTTGCAGATGTTTTAGTTTCGGAGTAATACTGGGTGTTCAGAAGATGCAGTAACATATCGCAAACATCATCATTTGTACAAATCAGTGTATTATTCTGAAAATAAAATTAAAAAAAAATTGATTTCTTGATGAAGATAATTTGATATATGATCCTTCTACAGATACAATGAGTTAAAAAGGACATAAAATTCCATCTTTTTAAATAGATTTTCAAATATAATACTGAATCGATTTAGTCGTCTCTAATTTCTGTTTTGAATATTTGAACAACGGAGAGATTGTAAATGAAACTAATGTCTATGAAAAAGCAAATAAAACGAAAAAAAGAAAATAACCAAAAGATAGAGTGCAGCATACGTCTTTCAACAACACACATATATCTATGCAATATTTCAATCTCTTAATAGCCCGAGTCTTAATTTATCAGAAACGATCAAAGGTCTGCTATTTAAAATATACACGTTTTCCACATAAGACAAAACGTTGCGGATGATTAATTTACATATGCATTTAATTTGCCACGTTTATCATTGTTTTTCAGCTACATATGATGGAACAACTGTCTGACAATAATGATCAAAGGACGTATTATATCTAATGATTAAGTTTACGTAATATCAAGTAAATAGTATAACATGCATACCAATTACCGATATATCAAATTGGTAGTTTCTGCAAAACAGTCGACTAGGATAAAGGGCGGAGATTTGGACTTCACTGAAAAAGACCGCAAAACATGTCGCTAGTGAGTTAATACACTTACACATCGTAACGATCAACCAATTCGTGATACGGACAAAATAAAATGCAGGAGGTGTTGATTTCAATCGTTCGTCCTTATAACTCTGTTGTTACAGTTTATATATAAGAAGCACATCCCTGCTGATGAAGTCAGTCTAATGGGAACATGCACGAGCGTAACATATTAATTAAGAATGTAAACCCCATACCATGGAGCAAAGGATAAGTTACTGCTGAGAAATAAGACGGTGACCCATGGATTGTTGAAATCGTTAAGTTTCTCATAGATTGAAATTTGAAGTTGTCCATCTGTGGCATTATCGAGGAAAAGATCATGATATTAAGCAGACATTCTACCTTTGGTAGTATCCATAATCACAAGTGCACTGGGATATATGAGATGAAAGAACTCTTTGAAATGATATTCGATATAAAAACAAAAAGCCACTCGTATATAATTTCTAAGGACAATCCGTTAATATTAAATGGATACGTGGTTTATATTTCCTATTCACAATATTGTATTCTATTAAAGATCTTTGAAAATAAACAGCAATAAATGAAATGAAGGAGCAAATGTATGAACTATTTTTTATTTATTCATTGGTCCTTAAACATAATTTAAACACTCAAACTAAAGCCAATACATTTGTAAATACTTAATTTTTCACCTACCATAGTTAAAAATTCAATTAAGAGGATCGTTCATTTCTCACAAAAAATTAATCCGTCAGATATCTATATCCATGACACATATATGATGCCAGAACAATTACGCATCCTATTTTCTTGTAGATAAGAAAATTATGTCCTTCCTCTGTCAAGACTTTTTAAGTTATCAGAGGATTACAGATAATGCAGTATTAATGAAACAATAAAGACAACAGTCATATGTAGAGTTACATAGATTGTCATGTGAATTATATAAACGATAACAAATCATACCACAATTGTTGATTAGTTCATTAAAAGTCAGATTACGGAAACAACATTTTCAAAGCAGAAAGTGTTATCCAACTATAAAAGGCGTCAAGTATCTTTCGTAATGAGAAATGCATTGGGTGTTTAATGTGGAATATAAGCTGCTTAAAAACAATGATGACCTACTTCGGTATAGATGCGAATTTGCAGTTGCAGACTTACGTATAAAATTACGAGTACCTTTTCTGTAATGAAAAAATATACATATAAATTATATTAAGATAGCTGTGGCTTTTATCTTATGCTTCGTGTTCATTTGATACCATAAAAAAGTTAAATAATTCAATTTTGTATATAGTTTTGTTACACATGTAAAATTTAAAAATGTGACACTAGTACCGATATTACTAGTAAATAAATGTTAGATATAAACGGTAATTCTGAAAAGTCTCAACAATAAATTGTTCAGTCATGTGCAATCTTTTGGCCAATTTTCAGGTTTTCCACTGCGGTAAATTGACATTTCGTTTGCAGAATATCAATTTTTAAAATCACCCTAAGGGTGACTGGGGATTAGAAATATGGTCATTTAGGTCTTCTTCCAATCGGCAGTAAAACCCGTACCAAGTGGGGCGTTCGGCTCTGCGGAATGTACAAGTACGCAGTCACGTCCGGTAAGAGTATGAAAGTTAAACCCGATGCCTCGTGTAGAGGAGGTGCCACGCTTTCTGCATGTTAAGAACTATTTGCAAAAATCTTTGAGGAGGCCTGTTGCAAAATTTCTGTCCCTATCCAATATATATTTTACAGTCATTTTTCGCTGATAGTCCTCATTTCCCCGATCTACATTCCGGACGGCCTCCTTTTCAGGACCTATCTTTTCATTATGATTTTTTTCTCGTTCTGCTGGTGCATGAAATATTTGCCACAGGACGTTAAGCAACAAACAATCAATCATTTCCAACGCGACGTAGACATCTTTAGAACTATCAAAGTTCTCCAAATTATTAGAACGATTTTGTAAGGTACCTACCATTCAGCTTCGTAGGACAAACCTTTTTTGACTAAACAAAAACATATCAAACATTTTTTTTTTCAATAACATACAGAAAAAAGGTTTCTCCATTAATATTCAATGGAATCAACCTTTTTTTCTCCCTTACATGTATCTCCTCAAACATTTTTGTTATCTTTAGAAAATGAAATGTAAACAAGTTTTTGTTTGTTATTTATTTTCAAGTCACGATCATTTTTTAGTGATCTTACCAAACCTATGGTTTAACGTTCATTTTCTTCAAGACTTCCTTATTTCGTGATGAAAAGCCGATCTCTATACTTGTTAACTTCCTTAAGTCTCGCCTAAGTTCATACTTCTTCAATAAACATATCGATCAGGATTCATGTCTTTGTCCTAAATTAGTAAATCCATAATGCAAAGTCAGTTATGTTTTTCATTTCCGCATCCGACTATTAAAGGACAATACCAAAGTACATTAAATGTAAGAACTGTTTAATAGTTCTTCGTCTTCCGTATGGTAAAAACATAAAAACCGAGCATCGGTAGTTCAGTATTTATCAGTCTGTTATCCGAAGTTATCACAGTAACTAATATAGATCAAAAACATCACACTGAACATTCATTCAGTTAAGAACTCTGTTAGTAAAAATCAGTATTTTGTTATAAATCAGTAATGCAAATACTAAATACTGTTTAAAAGTAGGATTATATCTACCAGTTGATTAAATCCGTAAATGTAGAAAGAAAATCAAAAGGGAATATATGAAAAGGCCAACGTTTCTACCCCTTAAATTTGAAAACAAAAAATGTATTACAAATCGTATCCATCGGTTGCTCATAAGACATTAGTATGTTTCTTATCAGTATTTATTTTTCTAATAAGATTTTATCTTACATATTGGCGCTAGCAAACATTTTTAACCCCGCCACATTCTTTATGTACCTGTTCCAAGTAAGGAGTCTGTAGTAAATTAGTTGTCGTTGGTTCATGTCTGTCATACTTTTTCGTAAATGGTTTTGTTATAATGTAGCCCGTTAGTTTTCTCAATTGAATCGTTTTATATTTTTCATCTCTGGGCCTTTTATAGCCGACTATAATGTGTGGGTTTTTTTATTGTTGAAGGCCGTAGGATTGCCTTTAATTACTTACACCCACTTCATTTGAACTTTGATAGATATTTGTCTCATTGGCAATCATACCACATTTCTTGATTTTTATATATGTCTGCATTCACGTTTCCAGATGAGAGCTACTATTTCGTTAATCAATAAAATACACATAATATTCAAAGGATTGAATACTTTTTCTTCTTATTTGCATTTTCAGGATGTTCTTTTTGGAAATTGTAAACCATAGGAAAATTGAAGAGGTCCTCGTACAGAAATTAAAGAACGAAAGAAAAAATATAGGCAGCTCGAAAATGAAGACTTTTGTCATGTATCTTATATATACAGTCCACCAAAAGTTAAGCACCACCTAAATATAACTGTCAATATTTTTTTAACTATTGCGAAAAAAAATTTTATGTTTGGTGTTATGAATTGCCTATAGCATATACAAAGAAAATTCATAACGACAAGAAAATGAAACTCCGATATACCCACCAAGCAACCTTTTATTAAAGGTCATCTGCACTTTTACAAATACACTGTTTCGATGCCTTTAAATTATCTTCCTACTGTCCCGCGTACAGGTGCAATTTGACCTTCACCATGTCACTGTGAAATATGGCAATCGGTAAGTTATCTGTGACTGAACGTTGACAAGCAAATGACATGCCAAATGTCGGTTGGAGCACTAGGAGCATTGATAACCATTTCAATGTTAATCGCACCATCATTGTCAGATTTTTACAACGTCATATTGACACAGGAACTGTAAATGATAGACCAAGGTCCGGAAGACCCCGTTTAACTACCTATCGTGATGACAGTCTACTTATTGGTCTGCTTAAGCGAACCCATTTACTCCTGCCCCATAGCTTAGACACCACTGGCCTCTAGGTGGTCGTGTTAGTGTTCGAACATTGATCCGTCGACTTCATAGAGGCTACCTAAGAGCACGTCGTGTTCTCAAAAGACGTGCCCTAACAACCATGCACCGTATAATCAGGTTTCAAAGGCCTATTGACCATCGACGATGGAACATGAGAATCTGACAAAATATTCATTGGTCAGATGAGAGTTGGTTTCTGTTACGACCAATAGACGGTAGAATACGAATTTGGCGGGGAAATAAAACTGCCTATCACCAAAACAAAAATTGCCCAACGACAGCAATCGTTGATGGAGGTGTTACAGTATGGGGTTTCTTCTCAAACTGTTGTAAGCTGGGTATGCATATTTTGCAGGGTAACATAAA